AGAAGAAAGAAAAAAAATGGTGAGATAAGGAGGAAGGAAAAAAGGGAAGAGAAAAAAGAGAGGAGAACAAGAGAAGAAGATTTAAAAGAGGAAGAGGAAGAAAGAAGATACAAGATAAGGAGGGGAAGAGGAAGAGATATAAAAGAGAAGTTGGTTGGAAGAGAGAAGAACCGAAAAAGAAAAACAAAAGGAAGGAGAAGAAAAATCGAGAGAAAAAAAGAGAAAACAAGAAGAATAGGAGAATTTCCGAGAAGAGAAAGATAAATAAGGAGAGAGAAGAATAAGAAGGAAAGAAGAGATGAGAGAGAGAAGAAAAGGAAGGGAAAAGGATATACGATTATTTACGAAAACAGGGAACAAATAGTGGAAACAAAAAAAAATTATTTATTTAAGTAATTACGTCATAGTTCTTTTCTCACTATTTGGAATAAGTATTTAATTAGTATCATCTACTAGCAAAACAGTAACTAGTAGAAGTGACAAAATGATTAATTAAAGATTGATAGTATCTAGTTGATTATAGGATGGTTAATTACATATATTTTGTTGATGTCATAAATTGATTAATTATAAGTAATTAGTTGATGTCATTAATTGGTTAATTATAAGTAATTTGTTGAAGTCATTAATTGGTTAGTTCATATAAATTGTTAAGTTAGATATAATTAGTTGAAGATATAAAATTATTAATCACTGTTACTTATTTGACATCGTATATTGGTTAAAAAAGAAACTACTGAAGCCACAAACTGGGTAAATATATATATAATTTTAAAAGACGATGACTCCATATACTGCGTATTGCACGATGATTGCAATAATATCTAAAAAAAAACAAAAAACAAACACCTATTGCAAAAAGAACGTGATTAAAATCGCTTTCATAGCTTTATAGCAAAAAAGAAGAAGAGAAAATATAAATTGTAGAAATTCCGGCACAACTATAGACAAGATTAATGTTCTACTTTCGATTGTTTACTGAAGTCTTCTGTAATCTTTTGTAGTCAAAGGTAAAGATGAGTCAGTTGTTTTGCGGCATGTCGTGGGTGCACCGATTTGGCGCGTTGGATCTCAGAAGGAATAGTGAATAACTAATAAGTTTGAATAGAGAAGGTAAAGATATGTATTTATGTATATGTATACACACACACACACACACACACACACACACACACACACACACACACACACACACACACACACACACACACACATATATATATATATATATATATATATATATATATATATATATGTAAATGTATATATACATATATATATATATATATATATATATATATATATATATATATACATATATATATATATATATATATATATATATATATATATATATACATATATATATATATATATATATATATATATATATATATATATATATATATATATATATATATATATATATGTGTATATATATATATATATATATATATATATATATATATATACATATATATACGCATATATATATATATATATATATATATATATATATATATATATATATATATATTTATATATATATATATATATATATGTATATATATATATATATATATATATATATATATATATATATATATATATATATACATATATGCGTATATGTATATATATATGTATATATATATATCTATATATCTATATATATATATATATATATATATATATATATATATATATATATATATATATATATATTTATATATATATATGCGTATATATATGTACATATATATATATATATATATATATATATATATATATATATATATATATATATATGTATGTATGTTTATATATATATATATATATATATATATATATATATATATATATATATATATGTATATATATACATACATACATATATATATATATATATATATATATATATATATATATATATATATATATATATATATGTATATATATATACATATTTATATATATATTTGTATACACACACACATATATAAACATACATACATACATATATATATATATATATATATATATATATATATATATATATATATATATCAGGGATGGTGATTTCTTCTTTATTAAAAGATCGAGTCTTTTTTAATTAGATTTTTAAAAAAATCAGATTCTTTTACTTTAAATCGGATGCATGTTGCATCGTATCTCACTTGGGTACATAATGTTTGAACCTGTCAAGCAGCTCAGTTGCCATTGGCCAGAATTGCATCATCTCTCTGCCCTGTTCCTGTATATATCATGTTATGACATGGTCGGACTTGTGCCACTGTGTAGTAATTTGGGTGTTAAAACCACTCATTCCTGCTAACTGCTAGAGCGTAGAGATGTCACTGATCACAGGGCTTAATGTAGGAAGAGTGATTCAGTGTGAGAACATTTTAACAGAATTCCTTCAAATTCTGGGAAAGGGTGGAGAGCCATATGCAAACAGTGTAATTTTTAGTTACAGGGAATAGTAACAAGAATGAAATCT